GGTGATTCTAACTGATTTTAATTGCCTATATTCATAGTTTAGGTAGTCAGAGACACCAACCCCGATCATCACGTATCAGGAACATTTTCGATATTTTGTCAGGAACAAAACGACAAATGTGCCCCCATCTACAAAGACGCTGAACAACATGAATATTTTCTTTAGATTTTCTTTCTCTGCGTAGTTTCAAGTGGAGTATGCGCAGGGAGCTTTAGATCCAAGGTATACATATATTGTTTTGTTTTTGCACACACAGCACAGAGCAGGAGACATGGAGTGCATTTGGTTGATTCATGAATCAAAAACCTGTTCTGAATTTTCCTGTTTGGCTCCACTATTGTTGGGTGATAGTCTGTCTTTTTGATGGTAGAAGTTATTGTCCTGCATAAGTACATATTGGCCTGGTAGCTTGTCAATAAAAACCTGATCAGTTTTTCTACAAATCTTCCTCTGCTTACAGTGTGACGCGTAGTGACTACCTGAACACTTTCGAGTTCCTGGACAAGCTGGCAGAGAACCTGAAGGCCAAGCTCGCCAATCAGCCCAAGTTGTGATGCATGTGAACGCAGAGCGCACGCGCGCGCGCGCACACACACACACACACACACACACACCAATATACACTCGCAGACATTGCTGCTGCTGGAGGCTTGCTCGTCACACAGAAGCAGGCAAGACCCGGCCCTCATGCCCAGCAGGCCTTTGGTCTAGAAATACATTCATGACTTCAAACAGGAAGTGTGAGTGGACTGAACTGTACTCAACCGAAGTACTAATAATGAAAAGCTAGAGTGTCACTGTCCAGTATACAACATGTAATTCCAAATTTTGTGTGTTGTCTTTTAATTTGAAAAATAACAAAAATATTTTTATGGTTGTGACGAAAATAAAACAAACGTGGAGCTCCATGCTTTTTATTGCACAGTGTCCGACTGACAAGCTCAAACCAAATTGACTTTGAATAATTCTATTAAATAATATTCAAGTGGTTTTGTTTCTCTCTCAAGTTGAATTCATTTACAATAGTCACCGTATTACTGTTCGGATTGTCTATTTGCATCTTTGTAACACTATCCTGCCATAGAATATAAAATGTCCATCTGATGTTTTTTATTTCATGTTTCATGAGAAAATAAATGTTTCCATGTACAACTTGTTTAAATGTTATGGTTGCCTTTCCTATTCTGTCCGTTGATTTGTTAATTTGCATCACTGTTTTATAAAAACAGCTGACACTAAAGACATTTTATTCTGTTTTTAAATTATGTTTAACACAACATCCCAACTTTATTGGAATTAGATTTGTAAGAATACACTTTTTAGATAACCTTTGGACCCTTGCTTTAATCCTTTTTTTGCATTTTTGTGAATTATACAAGTAGCGGATCACTTTTTAAAAGCCCCCTGAGAAAAGATACTAGACTATTGAATATTACTGAAATCTTTATTGGAAAATCATGTTTAATAGACAACAGCAGAAATAAGAACAAAATAATTCGGACATTTTTTCATAGAGACATTGTATACACACCTTCCACAGTATCATTCTGGTCCTCCTACACAGGTAGTATCAATTAGAAGGTTTGGCTTTTGCCATACACGTTTTTTATTTCTAACAAAATTAAAGAGGTCGCTTATGAAGTGATACATAGATTCTTCCCAATCAATTTATATCTGTTGATATTTAAAAAAGACCTACATATGAAGTGCAATTTTTGTCGTGATTCAAGAGAAACATTAGTCCACTTTTTCTGGTCATGTTCAGACACAAAATGGAATACCGGTAATTTGACGCAGTTTATTACACACAATATTGATCCTCACATCTCCTTACTCTGTAAACATCTAATTTGGTGTTATTGATTATAATAGGACTGCCAATGCACAATTTTATTGAATAAAAACCTTTTTATCATTTTCGCAAAATTTTACATCCATAGATCAAAATTTATGCATAAGAAACCACCTTTTACTGAAATGTGCATATACATGAATCATTATTTCTCTTTGAATGAAAAGCTGTGAAAATATAATTATTGCAAACCATGATAAAAGTAGGGGCAGCTTGCTGGATGAGTGGGTAGCGCGTCGACCTCACAGTGCAGAGGTACCGGGTTCGATTCCAGCTCTGGCCTCCCTGTGTGGAGTGGGCATGTTTTCCCCGTGTTTTCTCTGGGAACTCTGTTTTCCTCCATCATTCGAAAAAACATGCCATGCTGATTGAACACTCAAAACTGTCCCTGGTTGTGAGTGTAAGCGCGGATGGTTGTTCACCTCTGTGTACCCTGTGATTGGTTGGCAAGCGATTCAGTCAGCCTGCTGCCCGAAGACGGCTGAGTGTGTACACTGTGATTGGTTGGCAACCGATTCAGTCAGCCTACTGCCCGAAGACGGCTGGGATAGGTTCCAGAACCCTCGTGCCCCTTGTGAGGATAAAGTGGAACAGAAGATGGATGGATGGCTACAATTGGCTGGCACCCGGTTCAGGGTGTCCCCCGCCTACTGCCCAAAGACGGCTGGGATAGGCTCCACCCCCCCACCCTCATGAAGCGGAACAGAATGGATGGATGGATGGATAATGTAAATGGATCAACTTAATATCTTCCTTGGTACGTTTTTGATTTGATTTTTATACATGTTGTATACTCCCTGATTTGTATTAAGACGTTTACAAGGTTGTATGTTTTATATTTTTATTCATGTTGTATATACTGTACTTTGTTCTTCCCAACATTTTTATCTGTTTGTGAATTGAATTCTACCAAAAAAGTTAGCCAGTAATGTTTCTCGTGAACAGCCCGATGCATTTTTTTGTTCAACCAATAGAGTGCGCTGAGAGCAGATATGAGGGAGCGTTGCCTTCCATAAATCATTCCGACTCTGCTGACTGTGTGGCATCAACAGTTTTGTGGCGGCGCCAGTTCGCTTACACGCTGACAGAAGATGAATCCGAATCCTCGTGTCGTCGAAACTGGCGCAGATGTTCCTTCTCACTTAAATAATTCCACCAGGGACACGTCTGACAACAACATGGTCGGGAGGATGAGATGGTAACTGACAGATCGTGTTTTTTGTTCAAATTATGTGGAGGTAATTGTGTTGCAATTGTACTGTCTTGACAGTGCTAAAAAAACACATTTTAAAGTAACGTTGTATTGTATATACGTTTAGGTGACGTTTTTGTTTTGTTTTAGTTTCAGTTTTGTTTTTGGAGAAACGTAACCATCATGATGCATTCAATTACCCGGAAATCCCACTACTGGCAGTATATGGAAAAGTAGTAGTGAAAACATGGATTTCACACACAAATATTCAACACGAACACTAGTTTTTGCCACAAACAGGTGCATCTCAGAACATTATTGAAAAGCTTGATTTCAATGCAGTATTTTCAAATTTGTTTAACCAATGGGGGGGGGGGGCAAAATCCCATCTACAAAAATGTATGTATTTCAAATCCCTTTGTTTTCATGGATATAATTTTATGATTTCTCAAAATGATGATTATTGTTCCATTTTAAGCTATAATGCATCTATCCATCTATCCATCCATCAAAAAAGTTAGCCAGTAATGTTTCTCGTGAACAGCCCGATGCATTTTTTTGTTCAACCAATAGAGTGCGCTGAGAGCAGATATGAGGGAGCGTTGCCTTCCATAAATCATTCCGACTCTGCTGACTGTGTGGCATCAACAGTTTTGTGGCGGCGCCAGTTCGCTTACACGCTGACAGAAGATGAATCCGAATCCTCGTGTCGTCGAAACTGGCGCAGATGTTCCTTCTCACTTAAATAATTCCACCAGGGACACGTCTGACAACAACATGGTCGGGAGGATGAGATGGTAACTGACAGATCGTGTTTTTTGTTCAAATTATGTGGAGGTAATTGTGTTGCAATTGTACTGTCTTGACAGTGCTAAAAAAACACATTTTAAAGTAACGTTGTATTGTATATACGTTTAGGTGACGTTTTGGTTTTGTTTTAGTTTCAGTTTTGTTTTTGGAGAAACGTAACCATCATGATGCATTCAATTACCCGGAAATCCCACTACTGGCAGTATATGGAAAAGTAGTAGTGAAAACATGGATTTCACACACAAATATTCAACACGAACACTAGTTTTTGCCACAAACAGGTGCATCTCAGAACATTATTGAAAAGCTTGATTTCAATGCAGTATTTTCAAATTTGTTTAACCAATGGGGGGGGGGGCAAAATCCCATCTACAAAAATGTATGTATTTCAAATCCCTTTGTTTTCATGGATATAATTTTATGATTTCTCAAAATGATGATTATTGTTCCATTTTAAGCTATAATGCATCTATCCATCTATCCATCCATACATTCTCTGATCCCCTTAATCCTCACAAGGGTCGCGGGGCGTGCTGAAGCCTATCTCAGTTGTCTTTGGGCTGTAGGCAGGGACACCCTCAACCGGTTGCCAGCTAATCGCAGGCTATAATCATGAAAATCTTACAAAGTAAAACCATTAACAACTATACAGTGAATCAAAACTGGGTTTCGCCTTTCTTAAATGTAACTACTGATCTTTGACTGAAGTATTCTACCATATTCTAATTTACACCATGATATATTTACAATTGTTTTGAAATACTGTAGTTGTCAGTATAAAAGTCTTGTCAATTTCAGACATGTGAATGCAGCAAACCTGACTGCCATTTTGAGAAAGACTGAAAAGTGAATAAGCAAACAAAACACATTTGTGGCGTTAATCCTTGACATGTTTGCTGAGCTGAAGTCTCACACATGAGCTCTTCCTAATATTTTGGTCCATCTCAGTTTAGAGGGCGTGACCATGATCGCTCCAAATGAGTCTCGCCGGAAGGAGACACTAATGAGTAAGCCCGCTTTCCATACGTTTTTTTTTTTGTTTTGTTTTTTTCCAACTTACTTTCTGTGTCATTAAAAACCGCTTTAGTTGCTCAGAAGGAAGAAGATGAGCTTCAGAAATGGAAGGAGGCTAACAGGCACACACATGTGCATACCACTCCAGAGAGATTAGGTAAAAAGCAGCACTCTTGAAGCATGGTGTTTGTACCGCGCACCTTCCGGGATTTTCACTGTCACTTGTGTTCAAGGTGGGAATGCGACTTTGGCTGAAGTCAGGGAGAGACAGTTCAAGGACTTGCGTTGCTCCAAGATGGAGAAGAAGGTACTGTTTTCTACTTGCCAAGGATACGGCTTTACCGTAAACGGAAAACTGCGAGCAATTGATGCTCCCCCCCCCAAACCACATCTCCCGCCCAAAAAATACAATACAATA